TAAGACCCTGGGGTGGGTGTACCATTACCTGATAGAGCTAATATGAAGTTACCTGAATGTAATCCTCTATTTATAAGAGTTCTCCATATTATTTACTATATGCCAGATGCCACATTAAACCCTTATTTAAAAGAGAGGTCATTTGCTACTCTCCAGAAGCTTTTGTATCAATAACAACTATTCAGAAATTAACAGTTGCTAGTGGTACCAAGTAACTGTCGATGAAGGAACCTCAGAATTATAGATTCACTTGAATATTCAGATGTAATAGAAAGCCTCCACTGAAAGTCTGTTTTGGGTAATTGTAAGGTTGCTTGAATCAACTACCATAAACAGGTGCTGGTAAAGAAGTTATTTAAGTCAAATCAAGGAAATACTGAAAATTCACTTTAAATAAAAAGTTCTCATTTTTGTTTTCAGAAATAAAATGGAGTCTCTCTCCTTCTCTCTTACCTTACTTCTATGTTTGTTCCCTGCTTTTTTGATCTGAATGAGCCAGAAAGCCAAAAACATATTCTCAATAAAAAAATCAAAGAAAATGCCAGCCATTATTATTTTAGCATAGCTGAATTTATTCATGAATATCCATCTGTTAAAATGTACTGCAATATAAAACATTCATTCATGATGCCTAGCTGGGTTACTTAGCCACTTCTTAAGAGGAAATGAAATGATTGGACTCTTACATTAATCATTAGTATAAATTAAACAAAGTACATATTAGTTACAAACATTAGTTATCCACTTAAATGACAGAAGATTGACTACAAAAGACCATCTATCAGAACATTTACCATAAATGCGTAGTTCATCTGTAATTGAGAATTTAAACCACAAATCCTTCCACAGAGTAGCTTACAGTAATATCTTACCTATTTTTGCTTTAATCAACAGGCACATGATTATAAAAATAAGTGCCAATGGGTATCCTCTAACAATATGTGCCATGAAGAGTCAACTCTGGAATACAACTCTGTATTCTTCCTTGTAAAAGAAGACAAATTCAATCATGTTAAATGCATTCAGAAAATACCAAAACAAAAATCATTCAGAAGAGCCACTTTATTTTTCTCCATATTGTTTAGATTTTGTTTGTTATTTTTAAAAATGAAGTATGCCTTTAAAACCAGTAAATTGAAAATCTTAGTCACCTCCCGGGAAACCCCCCTCTCAGTGAAGTTTCTTGGGGTCAGCAAAGGGTTGAATGTCTTAGTCTGTTCAGGCTGCTGTAACACAATACTATAGACTGGGTGGCTTATAAACAACAGAAATTTATGTCTCACAGTTCTGGAGGCTGGACAGTCCAAGATCAAGGCACCAGAAGATTCAGTGTCTGTTAAGGGTCTGCTTACCAGTTCATAGATGGTTCCTTCTCACTGTGTCCTCACATGGTGGAAGGGGCAAGGGAACTCTCTGATGTCTCTTTTATAAGGGCACTAATCCCATGCCTGAGAATTTCTCCCACATGACCTCATCACCTCCCAAAGTCTCCGTCTCCTAATATCATCACCTTGGGAGTTAGGATTTCAACATATGAACTTGGAGGGGGCAGGATGCATAAATATTCAGATGATAGCAATGGGCTTTGGAATCCTTTGGAACTGGGTTTAAATACTTTGAGACCATGTGCAAGTTTCTTAACCTGTCTGAGCATCAGTCCCTCACAAAACTTTTTTTTCCTTCCAAACACGGCGGCATCATCACAGTCATACAGAGTAGTTTGACTGTGGGAATTTCTGATGTAGTCACATGACT